CACTGTGGGAGGGGCAGGGGAACAGAAGGGGGAGGGGAGGGGGAAGAGAGTGGTAGAGGAAGGGAGAGAGACATAAGATAATAACAGAAAAATTTCTTAACTTGATAAAAGATATCTACCAAAAATCCCTATAAATTAAGGATTAAATGTTCAAGGGATTTCCTCTAAAAATTAAGAAAAAACAAAGGTATGCATGATTATCATTTCTGTATCATACTGGTCCAACAGGTGGAGCATGTAGAAAAATTTGAAAGTATAAAACTGGGACAAAAACTCAAAAGAGATATGATTATTTATGTGGAAAATTCCAGAGAAGATACAGATAAATTATAAAAATTATGTGAAAGCTTTGATGATTTCCTGGCTGAAAATAAAAATACAAATATCAATTATGTCTGTACAGAATCATATATTAGAAATAATCATTTCAAAGAGCAAATAATTAAAACATTATTTAAAAATGTTTTATTAAAGGAGTGTGTAGGGGTAAATCTAACAAACATACAGGAAGTTAAATCTCTTAGAAAAACATTAAAGAAAATCTAAATAAATGTAGAGTATATTCTTAGATTAGAACACTAGACATCATAATAAAAATGTCATTTCCCTTTATAGTGATCTGTAGACTGTAACAAATTCCAGTTGAGTTTGGTGGGTGTAAAAGGTGGTAGTGACCGTGTTCTTGTAGATTTGCAAAGAAAAGAAAAATGCCATGGCAGCCAAGATACTGCAGAAAAGAATGAGAGAGAGGAACATACCAGACGCTTCAGATCATTATGAAATTCTATTGGGTATCTTAGTGAGAAGAGAAATTAATTGACCCAAAATGTAAAGCAGGGAGTCAAAAATTAAATGTTAAATATATGGAAATTTGATTTCTGGAAAGGCTAGCTTTGAAGATTAGAGGAAAAAGTATATTATTTCTACCTCATACCATCCATGCAAACTGACTTCAAATAGATGAATACTTAAATACGAAAATGCCAAGACACTTAGAAGTCAGAGGAGAAGTTTTCTTAAGTAGGAAATACATGGTACAAGTGAAAAAGAAAAGCTTACAAAATGTAATTGAATTAAGATTAAAAACTCCAATACAGAAGAGCATCTCAAATAATTAAAAAATACACAAAGTAAAAAATATATTTATCTCACAAATACAATATAGTATATCAGCATCTATATTGCCCTCAAATTGGTTAATAGAGGACAATTCAATTAATGGAAGACAATCCAAAAATAATAGCTATCGTCAAGAAATCAACCAATAACAAATGCTGGTGGGGCTGTGGGGAAAAAGGAAGCCTTTTCCACTGTTGTTGGGATTGTAAATTGGTACAACCAATATGGATGGAAATCAGCATGGAAATTCCTCAAAACCCTAAAACTAGCAGTTCCATTCACCCCAGCTATTCCCTTTCTTAGTATTTTCCAACATCATACTACAGCTATGTATTCACACCTATGTTTATAGCAGCTAAATTGATAATAGCTAAATCCTGGAAACAGCCCAGATGCCCATCGATGGACAGATGAATAAAGTGAATGTGTTTTACACATTTACAGTGGAGTACTACTTTTCATAAAGAAGGAAAAGCTGGAGCCATTTCTAGGTAAATGGATGCACCTTAGTACCATTCTTCTAAGTGAACTAGATCAGACACACATGTTTAAATATCATGAGGTTTCTCTTCTCTGTGGGAAACCAAAAGCATAAATGAGACCGAAAATGGATAGCAGATATTGAGAAGTAGGAAGAAAATGTTCAAGTGGGAAAGGGAACAAGGGGAGAGGGGAGAGGAGGGAAGGAAGGCAGAGCAAAAGAAGACAATAGGAGGAAAAAAATTGGAAACAAAAGCTCTTGTAAACAAGAAGGGAAAGAAGGGTTAAAGAGAGGAAGGGATGGAGAAAAAAGAGTATAGGTACAAATTCTCTGTTATGAATGCGATCACTGTGTGTATAAAAAATACCAACAAAATTAATTTTTAAATGGATTAAAAAAGTATATAGCCGGGCGAGGTGGCGCACGCCTATAATCCCAGCACTCAGGAGGCTGAGGCAGGAGGATCGCTGTGAGTTCAAGACCAGCCTGGGCTGCATGGTGAGTTCCAGGTCAGTCTCAACTACCTAGTGAGACCCTGTCTGAAAAAACAAAACAAAACAAAACAAAAAAAAGAGTATATAGCTCAGTAAACAGGAAACCTTAGTTGTTATGAAATGAGAAAAGATGTTCAGTCTTACTAGTAATGAAGACATTTAAAGCTTTGAGGATTTTTATTTTCCACTCACTAAATTAGCAGGAAATTTACAATCCCTGACTATATAATGTGCCAAGAAAGGTTCAGGCAATCAAACATCTACCTGCCAGGAGTGTAACATTAATCCTTTGTGGAACAGTTAGGAAATAGCTAATAAATTAAAAATGTTTATATAGCAGCAATTTATGTATTTTATTTACCTATTTATTTACTTTTGGAACTGGGGATCAAACTCAAGGCCTTGCACTTTCAAGGCAGGTGGCAGAACCACTGAGCCAAATGGCCGGCACCATGCAGTTGCCTTTTAAAGCAGATATTCTAGAGAAGGGATTTCCGTCTCTCCTTCTTGCCATTTTAGGTCAGATAGCTCTCGGTTGTGGGAGTTGTGTCCTTTAGGATGTTCAGCAGCATCCTTTGCAGAATGTATTTGCAGGAGCATTAGCTGGAGATATTAGTAGCATACTGCAGGTATACAGAAAATGCTTGTTGACATTGCTAAGTTTTCTGGAAAGGCTAGCTTTGAAGACAAAATCACTTTAGTTTAAGAACCATTGCCCAAAGAAATATTTGTGCATATCTACTTATACATATATAAGGATGGTGTAGAAGCATTGTGTATAACAGTAAAGAATGAAAGAAGGCATCAAGAAACATTCAAAACAATCCAAATATCCATGAATATCCAGGAGGACAAAAAAACTACATCATACAGTGGCAAAATGAATGTGTTGCACAGCATTGAAACTCAAAAATTAGTGTTTATTGGAAAAATCATAGACAAATATATGTCCCATTTACATCTTCTTGAAAAACACGAGAATAAGCATTTTAACCTTAAAAACTAAGTAGGATGATTTAACGTAAGAGACCAAAAATATCTTTTTAAGAGTTAACATTTTGAGTTATAAACTGGATCCAAAATAAAATAGCAATGTTACTTCAGAATATGACTCAGAATGTTGCTCAGGAAAGTTAGGAGGTTAAGACAAAGTGGTCCAAATGCTCAAGCAATGGTTACTAACAAATAATGCAGTCAACTACTTTAAAAATGCAGCCTTTAAAAAAAGAAAAAACAGGATAATCTAGCAGCAGAGTTATTATAGAGTGAGCTCCCTTATGCAAAAGAGAAAAAAAATCAATTGTTTCTCTCTAATTAAGATGAATATTATTCCTGTGAAATGAACCAAAAAGTTGTATGGAAACAGAAATCCCGCAAGAGATCTATCATCTACAACAATAATTGCATGCAATTTTAATTGAAGGAAAAGGAAAGGACTGTGTTTATCTTTGCTTTTTGCAAGATCTTATAAGTAATCAACCACTTGGCCAATGAGCAGCACTTTATATCACTATCATCGGACCTATAAACTGACATTGGATAGACCCGAAAGATTTGTGACGTTTTTAAAGCTAAATGACAAAACGGCAATGAAGACCTTTTGTCATTAATGAAATAAGTCCCTGAATCTTATTAACAGTCTCAGAAACAAAATATTTTGTTCTTGTTGTTGAAGCCTAGATGCTGTGACTATTCATAGAAATGCATACTCAACTTTTATTTAAGTACCGACAGAGTTGGAAATGAGAGGGCAAATCTGTTTTGTTGTGATACAGTTTAATTACATTGTAGGATCTGCTTTTTTTCAATACTTGACAGTTAGCATTAACATTTTACGAAAAATGGGGATAGTATAGATTTATTCTGTTTTGAAGTTCAATTTTAATATATAAATGTCAATAAAATACATATTTACTTTTCAGTTCAAATAGTAATTCAGAACTTCAGCCGCTTGCTTACGTTTGCACACCTAACAAATCAGAATACATAATTTTAATGAGCAGCTGCTTTATTTGTCTAATAATTTGTTACCTTGCTCCTATCTCGGTTATAAACAGTAGGCTAATTTGATTAATTTTGTCTCTAAAATGTCATGATTCATGAATCACACTGAATGCTTTGTAAAGTGGATACATAACAGGAAACTTAAGTTTAAATATTTAATTCCCCAATAATCACATTAAAAAGTTGACAACAGGGACTGGGATTTAGCTCAGTGGCTCCACTGCCTGCTTCTTAAGCCCAAATCCTGAGTTCGAACCCCAGTACCAAAACAAACAAACAAACAAAAAAAGTTGACAATAGAAAGCTCTTGGAAATACACAGTTTTTACATCCAAATTGGGACGATTTTAGCTACACACAACAGAAAATGCTCATACTATGTTTTCTCTGCGCACAATTTATAATGTCATCTCATTTTGGGAGAAGTGGGGAAATTCGATTTTTTTAGTACACTTTAAAAACAGTAATGTGGCATAAATGTTAGCAAAATATGCAATGTGTAATCCTTTATATGATATAAATAAGAGTTTTGAATTTGAATGAGACTTTTAGTTAAGTGAACTTTACAAAGGAATGAAATTTACCTCTTTCGTCAATACAAATTTTCATTGTATTAACCCCAAATCTCACAATATTATTTGTTGTATATTATAAGTTCAAAGACACGTTATTGTAAAATTTTAGCAAGACAAATTCAGATTTTATCCAAATTCTTCCAATATAAGTGTCCTATTTAGCAGATCAAGAATTTTAAACCCCACTAATATGATGTATCTTATTCAAAATCATTCTTGTAGTCTTTGGTGCTTCTATTTCTCTTTTATTTATTTAATTTTCTTTTTTACTGAGACAGGGTCTTGCTTTATAGTTCCAACTGCCCTTGAATCTCACTATGTATCTTAGGGTGGCCTCGAACTTGCAGAAATCCTCTAGCCTCAGCCTCCTCCACGCTGGGATTACAGACCTACATTACCAAGCCCGACCGGTCCTTCAGTATTTACAGCTGGTGAATAGCTGAAAATAACCACGAACATTTCAAATCCTACAAGGTATTTGTCCTTGTCCCTCTCAGTTTTCATTTTTTTAAATTAAAAAAATGATTGATACACATTTGCAATCCACAGAGATTACATCCACTGTGGAAGTTGGTCAGGCATTTAATGTATTTTAATTATTTTTACTTCCCCCCCTTCCTCTTCTCACTTCTCTCCCTCGTTCCTTCATCTTTTTCAGCTTTTATTTTGTCCCTTCCAGTTTGTGACTAGACAGAAGACCAGCTCTGTTATAATTTTAAGTAATCTAGGAGCAAATAGGATGGAAGTGAGGACTTGAAAATGTTGAATGCGAAAAGTGCTAGAAACATGCCTCTTTAAATCTAATGTCTTCTAAGATTATTTGTTCAATTATAAATCACCATATTTAAAGAGGGCTCAAAGTAAAAACTATTCATTGATTTGTTTATTTTATTTTATTATTATTATTTTTTTAGACAAGTTCTCACTGTGTAGCCCAGGCTGGTCTTGAACTCATGGCAATCCTTCTGCCTCAGCCTCCCAAGTGCTGGGAAGACAGGCCTACACCATGACGCTCAGCTCAAAATAAAATTTATACTTTCATGCTAAATCTTCACCTCACAATAAGTTACTCTTGATTCAAATTTTTGATTCCAAATGTATTTTAATGGTTGGTATTTCATTATGATTACTGTTAATAAATTCTTCCTTCCTTTCTTTTTTTAGCACCAGGGATTGAACCCAGGGCCTTGCATATGATAAGCAAGCGATCCACCACTGAACCACATCCCTAGTCTTCATAAATAATTTCTTAAACATTATTTTAAGGTAAAAGCAAATTCTTCTGCTAAAATGATTTTATATTTGATTAAGTCTCTATTGTATTTCTATTTTAAATGCTTTACTTCCATGTTCTAAGCTTTCTCTGTGTAGCTCTTTCCTTCTTGTAGAAAAGTTAATAAAGGGCTGGGGATGTCGCTCAGTGGGGCTGGGCCTACCTGGCAAGGGCAAAGTCCTGAGTTGAGTCTCCAGTACCAAAAAAAAAAAGGTTACTAGAATTTTAGTTCTTATCTATTTTCCACACAGGTGCTTGAAGTCTATAAGCACTTTTGTACCAGAGTAAAACATGTTAAAGTTATAGCTTTATTTTCACTCTGAATCCTTTCTTATTTATGTTTTCCCAATTAACCTTCATTTATATTTTTAGTTCCTCCTGGGAGAAGGTGGAAAGTATTTTATTTTTAATTATATATCATTTGGTTTATGCAATTGGTACAGAGAATTTTTTGATTATATATGTGTATATATATTTACATGCTTTTAATAGTTCATTATTCAAGTAATGGTTTTGAAAAAGAATATATATTTATCACATGAAATTAAGAAATGAATCTTAAAATATTCATATTCCAACTCTTTTCTATATCTTTTGGAGGTTTTTTCTAAGCCCACAATATAATACCAATCCTTTTTCCCTTCTGTACAGAAGTACAAAACATATAATATAGTTTTTTGCTAACGTAACACTTTGTGATGACTGGTTTATTTTAGAATGCTATTTTTCTACAGTGAAAAATTACTTCTTTTTATAAAGAATAATCAAGGACCACTAGGGAAAAAAAATCTTTCATAAGATGCAGTAATAACTTGTTGAGAAATATTTTACACTGGCTTTTCCTATTGAATAAGATTAATTTTTTTTGTCATTTCGATTGTAAAGAAGTTATGACCAAGACTAACCGGAGTATTGCCTTTAATGTCTTAAAAACATGAAGACAACACTATTATGTGCTTAACAAAATCATACAGCAGCTGGCTCACCTAGAAGTTATAATGTATGCTTTTAGAAAATGAGCATTTTTAAATTCACAGAGCCCTGGTCAAACATAAATTACAATTACTTTTTAGGTTAAGGTGAAAATTCCAAAAGATGCTTATTCACACACTTTCAGTATGTGTCACAGATACACTTCCTCTTTTTGCTCATAGAAGGCAAATCACATTTATTTCTATATCTGTGTATATTTAAAAATAAATTACCCTAGAAAACAAAAATACTGAATCCACTATGTTCACGTGCAATTTAATAGAGAAAGCAAAACCTTGTGTTGCCTTCCAAGAGTCTGTAGCCTATTTGGTGAGACTTCAGAATGCATATGGAATGTGAATGCAGCATTTATTCGCAAAAGTGTAAGCTACCTTATAATTATCAGATCATTCGATGTATTTAGTAACTTACATTTCATTTTTATTATAACAATTCACTTTTTCTTTGTTTCTGTTAGGCACTATCAAATATAGAGTCTTACTTACCATACTGGGAAAGATGAAATTTATCATTGTGCCATAAATGCCCTGGAAAGCAAAGAAAATATTATTATTTATTATACCTCCATCCACAGGGATCCTAAGTGCCAAATGTAATGCATCAGCCGCAAAACAAAAATGAGGTAAGTCTACTGAACAAAACACAAATCAGTATTGTAAGAATTTTGAACATATCTTTGGACAGAACAACCTTAGGATTGGGCAATTGTTATGATAAGTACTTTCAGACACAGAATAAAACATTTTATTTTCTGAAAACAAATATTACAGGATTAAGAGAAAATTGCTAGTTTTTTTCACTATGCCCTTTCAGCTCAGTTGAATTTTTTGTCTATGCCAATGAGACAGCTACATCTAAACTCTTTAGGGGAAAATTGAGGACATTCCAGCTTCCTTAAATCAGCATTCAGAACTGCTACATCCATCTACATGAAAGTAAACTTTCTGTCTGGAATGTTGAGAAGAAAATCAGGTGTAGGAGCTGAGAAACAAAAGTTGAAGTTCAAGCCGCTATTTTTTTTTTACTAAGTTTCTTGGTATATTTAGGTCTACATAATGACCACATTTATCGTAGGGAGTTTCACAATATCCATCTTACATTTTGGTCCTCATTTTCACTCTCAGTTTCTCACACCAGAGAAACAGTGAGGTATTTACACATTTGTGTCTGATTTATTTCACTTGAGTACGGTCTCAGGATGCACCTATTAGCTATAAACGTCTCAGTGTTATCTTTCTTTATGGCAGAGTAGTAGTCCATTTCATAAAAGAACCACATCTTCTATATCCATTCACCAGTTTATGGGAATTTGGTCTGTTTCCAAGATTTAGCTATAACAAACCGTGCTGCTATAAACATGGGTATGCATTTGTTCCTGCAGGGTGATGCTTTTTATTCTTTTGGGAAGATATCAAGAAGAGGAATAGCTGGGTCAAATGGAAAACCTCTACTTTTAGTTTTTTGAGGAATCTCCACACTGATTTCTGTACTGGTTGTACCAGTTAACATTCACACCAACAGTAGAGAAGGGTTCCTTTTTCCCACAGCCCCACCAGTATTTGTCACTGGTTGATTTTCAAGCTCCTAATGTTCATAATAAGGAATCATTTATTTGCTTGTTGTTTTCTATCCACTGAGATCATAATTATATTGCATGCTAAGAACAAGAGCAAAATTATACTTGGAAAAGGTATTGGTTCCTGGATTTATGTTCTTTAAAATTCTTCCTAAACATTTACTTTTCATTTTTAATAATTGATACAAAGTAAAGTTTGTCAAAAGTTATAACATAAGGAAATATGTTGCCAGACGTGGTAGTGCATGCCTTAATCCCAGCACTCGGTAGGCTGAGGCAGGAGGATTGCTGTGAGTTCAAGAGCAGCCTGGGCTACATAGTGAGTTCCACGTCAGTCTCAACTACATAGTGAGACCCTGCTCAAAAACAAAACAAAACAAAGCAAAAAAACAAACAAAAAGAAATATGTCAAGATAAAAGAAAATGTTTTATCTTATCCTGATGATTAATGTTATTAAATTTTGGTTATAGTCTCTTCCTTTATGTTTTTTAAGTATCATAATTTTTAAAAATATAAAGTTCATGTCTCTTTGTCAAAACTGCATAATTGCTAAGTAAATGTTAATAGATAACATAAAGGATTTATTTGAATTTTCCAAATAATGATATTTCAGTCCATATAACATTTTTCTACTAATTTTATTTTTTGGTACTGGGGATCGAACTCTGGTCCTTGTGCCCGCAGGACAGGTGGCGGAACCACTGAGCAAAATTATTCTACTTATTTTAAATTAAAATCAAATTTTAATTTGAAATCTTCCTAAAAACAATAGTATTTCTATAAATAAAAATAAATTGCTACTACAAACCACTGAAAGTGATGTTCACTTTTTGTTTTTTCAATGCTGGGGATTAAACCTAGGGTCTAAGGCTCTATTACTGAGCTGCACCGCCTGTCCAAAATATTCACAAATTTGTAAACTTTTTTTGCTGGAGAATAAGATTCGAAGGGTCTCTTACTTAGGTTTTGACACAGATAATATTTTGTAAAATAATTTTATGAATAAACATTTGGATAGCAAATGCAGAGTCTGAAATTCTGCAATGATTCAGGAATTCTCCCTATGAAAGTAGTTTCTTTAAATTATTATTTTTTATTGAATCATATATTTTAATGTAGTTCCAAATTTTGTAATTAATTTTAATGCAGCCTTTTAAAGAAAAATTTTTAAACTTTGAAATTTAATTGTACGTGGTACATATTCCTTAAAATTATTAATAGAACTCTTGAAATTACTGCTCATATTTGTAGTTTCTAAACTGCTAGCAAAAAGAATTTAAAAGGCATTTTTAAGCACCAGCTCCTGAAGAGGGCAGCACGTTCTAGATATTATTGAATTCCAAGCTCCAGTGTTACAGCTTTGGCTTTAGTGCACTTTTTTAAGAACTAAAGGGGAAAAATGGATATATTTTGCAGATGTCTCCTCCGCTGATACAATAAACCAGCGGAAATGCCAGGCATTTGCCGAGTGAGGTCAAAGCTGCATTTGATTATTAAGAGAGAGCATTCGAATTAGACCCCTAAAGCGATGTTTTAGAAAAGGAACAACAAGATACTAGTGAGAGGATGCTCCACGAGGCAAGTGCTTTATCTTAATACTGTAGGTAACTTTTCCTCTTGGCGATGCATTGACTCAAAACTACTAACCGGGTTAGATTTAGTTAACCTTGCTCGGTTCATCTCGATTGCCATGGCAACATTCACTTGCCTCGGTAGCAACGCACACTTTAATCAGATATTTCCTCCTCATTTTTCTATGAGCCAAAATTATGTAGTCAAATTCACAACCAAGTCCTGATGAATCTGATAACACCTCTTACAATTTTACAGACAACTTGCCTCCACCCACGTGCATAAATATTTTTCAGAGAGGCTTACAACTCTGGTACGAGTACAAGACGTAATAGGAATACATGTCTGTCGTTTTCTACTTTATTAATTTTTAATGCTATTTTTGCCACTATTCTTAATGTAGAAATTTCTTTTAGCTGAATTGGAACTCATTTCAGCCAGTCACTACTGTAGGTCACCTGACCACCATAAGAGAGCAGAAGAGTGAAGGGTACACTCTCTAGTGTTCACACGTCACCTCTCCTAAGCAAGTCTTTTGAATTAAATTTAACTTTTATCTGAGTAGAATTTGGGTTGGCGCGTCATAGAATCTGTTATTTTTTTTTTAAATACCTTGAATGCAGGTAAGAGAAGGAAAAGAAAATAATCAAAGACAAAGCACGATCTGACATATGAGGAAAAGAAACTTTGGTCAAGCTTCGGCAGTATAACAATTCTAATGAGAAGTGAAAGCATGATATGTTACATTGGTGATACCGCTTGGGTGACTATTAACCATCTACATTGTTGGACGAGTCATCACTTTAGCATTTTGCGAAAAACTGGAGCATCTTTGGCATATATGGAGATGTAAGGAATATTCAAACAGTCTTCAATTCTGATTTAAAGTGTTAGCTAATTATATTTTCCTGAATGTTAGCAATTTTGCAAATAGTATAATTTGATACCCTAATACAATTTTTAGAACTGTAATTAATAAACAAAACTATCTCAGCTCTTCCTTACATTTTAATTTACATTTAAATTTATCTTTAGATGAAAAACATCTTAACCTGAAGTTGTAATAGTTCTCTGGTTGAGAAGTTTTACATCAGTACCAGAGAGTAATATTTCAGCATGTTTTCGCCATCACCACTTAGTAGTGCCTAGTAAAATTTCCATTAATGGAGGCAAGCAAAAAGGGTGCTTTCTATAGCTAAGTGTATGACTCTAATGTTAAAAAACAATTTCTATGTAGTATAGATGACTATAATTTTCTTATGTAGTATAGATGACTAAATTCAGCAAGCAAAATTTACTCTCACAAAAATTATTTAAAATTTAACTTTAACTGTACCTAGTACTAGCAGACTGTGTTCCAGGCACTTATTTGAAAAGCTAACTTCTTACTGATGATAAAATTTGGAAGCCATGAAACCTCAGGTGGAAGTGAAGGACTAAGAAGCATGTAATTAAAAAGCAAAATCCTTGCATTGAAAGGAAGCATAGAACTTATCTTCAGATATTTGAAGGACTTATTATGTAGAAGAGGTAGGGAGTATCTTAGAAAACTAAGATAAATGGTAGAAGTCGCAGTGAAATGATTCCAACTGTGTATAAACAAACAAACAAAACCCTGTAAAAAATTAGAATTCTGTAAATAATAGCACAGGCCCTCAAGCAGCAAGTTCCTTGTGTAGGCATTTTCCACGAGACGTGTATGTATGAACTGTTTTTCTGTTGCTTGACTTGTGGGACAATACTGTAGAAAACATGTTCAAATTCAAGTCTGAGAGGTAAAATGAGTCCCTTCTTAAGGAATTTTTCGAATACCATGCGATGCGATAGTTCCATATGAAAACCTGGCAGTGATCTTCAAACGGCCTGTTCAGCAGCAAGTTTGCAAATTCTACCCTAGAGAAACCGCCTAAATGAGAAAAACAAACAGTTCTTAGTGAAGAGTTATCTAAAACCTCCAAGGAGACATGTAAACGGTCCTAATTGGCCTTCATTCAAGAACTTCAGTAGATGTTAAGGAGTGACCAGAGGTGCCGGATGAGGTCTCCTTTCTGTACTGACTTGGCTCTCCCACCTAGAGCTGGGGTGCTTTGCTGCCAGGCAACACTCAGGCTGTGTTAGGCTGTTCTCTGGATAAAAGGAAGATTTCGGCATTATCCTCAAATTCTTTAGTCACTTAAGAAATAATAATTGCTCAATGAAGCGAGCAGAGCTTTTCTTCTGCATGCAGAGAAATTTAAAAGTTTAAGAGAAAATTACACATCGTGTGGGAATGCTCATCTTCAACAAGATTTTTGAAGGAGACAAAGGAAAGTTGTAACTGATTTGTGATTATAAATATAAGGACATTTCTGATTTCTTGAGCCAGAGTAATCTATACTTTTCACTGAACAGTAGATCCTGTAAAGTTCTAGTTTATGTTGGTTGAAAAGAGTGTTTTTGCTCCGTTTGGTGTTGAAGTTTCCTGTGTGACCATCTTTGAATCACATTGAAGGAGCCAAGATCACAAAAGGCCTTGTAATATCTAACGCACTCCAGTGCTGCTCTTGGAGCATGAGCTCTTGGAAGAATGGCTGTCTACCAGAAGCATCTGTTTCACCCTAGAGAGCTGTTAAGTGGTTTTGCACCAACCAGAAATGTTAACGTTACTTTTACTAGTAAAGGATAAAGAATATTGCATACTTTGTAAGTACTTAAACTCCTCTGCCTTTCCCAACTGCTTCAAATCAAAACTTGACATTAACTTATGTGGGTGAAAATTCCTCCTGCTGAGGATTTTTCTAGCAAATGGCCTTGAAATTTGTTTCCAAAATCCTCACCTACAAAAGCTTTTATTAGCCAGTTCCATTTGGTTAGCTGTGCTCCAGCATTGTCTGTAGTGAACACAAACTTTGACTACAGAGAAACAGAAACTTCCAAGGCACCCTGGAGGAACTTTTTGATCCAAAGGACACTACTAGCAAACCAAAGTGTCACTGCAAATTCATGAACTGTTCCTTATGTCATGAATAGCAGTAGGAGGAAAGGACTGCGGCTGTGCAATGAGTGTTCCACGTGTGTAAATCTAGTCCTCAATCCAAGATCAAAGATTGTCTTCAATCAGCTAGTATTTATTTAGTGTCCAGCATGTCTAAAACTAAAAGAGTCAGGAAACAACAAATATGAACTATTTTTAAAGATGGTATTTATTGAACGAATGAAGAAAGACGTGCTGCTGGCCAATTAAAAGACTTATGATCCAGCTGGCGATTTGGCCCAGTGGTTCTGCTGCTGCCTGCCTCGCAGGCACAAGGACCCGAGTTTGATCCCTGGTACAAAAAACCAGCATGTCTAAAACTAAAAGAGTCAGGAAACAACAAATATGAACTATTTTTAAAGATGGTATTTATTGAACGAATGAAGAGAGACGTGCTGCTGGCCAATTAAAAGACTTATGATCCAGCTGGCGATTTGGCCCAGTGGTTCTGCTGCTGCCTGCCTCGCAGGCACAAGGACCCGAGTTTGATCCCTGGTACAAAAAAAAAAAAAATTGAAAGAAAAAAAAAAAGGCTTATGATCCTCTCTAGGAGGTAAAATTAACACAAAACAAAGCACAGTATCTTTTTGTTTCATCCCTATTGGTTGAAGTATTTAATCTGGTTCATAGTACAGAATGTTTTAATATATCTCAATAATATTACTTGGCATAAGTAGTTTTAGCAAAAAAAAAAAAAAAGCATACATTTGCTGGCTTTATCCTCACGTGTACCACTTGCTTCTCTTACCTATGAAATGTAAGGCATGTCTACTAAGCTCTGATGAGGAGCCTAGTAAAAGTAGCAAAAGTCCTCATTCTTGTTGGCACCATGACTAAGCATTTAGAAAATGCTCATTGAATAAATAATGAATAAAAATAAATTAGAAAGAGGAAATAATGATGACCGAAACTCAGGAAGCATTCAGTATGGATAGTGTCCTTTGAAAGGCTCTGTTCCATGGAAGAGATGTAACTTTTCCCTGGGCTTCAAAATAATGAGATATAAGTAGGTGAGGAGGAAATAGGGCACTTCCAGTGGAATTAAGGACATAAGCCAAGGAATTGCGGAAGAAATAGTGAAAAGATGTAATTTTGTATTGCTGGGAATTGAACATCAGGGACTTGATGGTAGGGAAGAATTCTACGGCTGAACTGCACCTCCAGTTTTAATTTTTCTTGATGGGACCATGGATTGTGTTATGAGATTATCTGTTTGTTTGTTTGGGGTTTTTTTGGTTTTTTTTTTTTTTCACAAATTCGCAAGCAGTGTCTCAGTACTGAACTGCAGAACCGCAGATGTTCCTTACTGCCAGGCAGGGTCATCTGGACTGAGACAGCAGGCAGGTGAGAGCTGCTGTACCTTGCCTGGTAGGTATGCATGAAGAAAATGCATTAGAGAGACTAGTGTGTCAACCTCTCTAAGAGAGAGCATAAACATAGAAAAACCAGCTGCAAGGCTGTCTACACCTTTTCTGCACATTTCACAGATTTGGTGCTCAGTTACTTGTTGATTGATTAGTTTATATGGACATGGTTAATTCAGAGGTAGGTGATCTGTGGAATAATTGTAGGCCCATTGGCTTTTTGAAAACAAGTTTAGCTAAAACCACATGGAGCATCCATGAATACTCTCCATCTGGAAAACTGTATTTGTTCTTTAAAAGACCAAAATGTTAGCTCTTCTCTTCTTACACTGCATAATTGTAATTGTGCCCTCCTCTGTATCTCTCAAACTTTGAATTTATTATGTCATAATAATGATAATAATTAGCAATAGTAGTGCAACTCGTGTTTTGAGTGACTATTAGTAGTGTCAAACAAATAGATAAGAATTTTTATAATTAAATCCTTATAACTCTGCTGCGAGGACTACTACTGTTAGCTCCATTTATACAGAGGATTATTTTTAAAGGAATACTGTGTGCCCTAATTTTATGCTGGATTTACACCAGTGAATATATTTATTCAGAGTGATCAAATTATGTTCTGTGAAAATCATTGAGTTCTTAGTGTAGCTTCTGTTTTTGCTTGTTTATTATCTTTGTTCTTCACCTCCAATAATTGTAATAGTTGATAGCAGTTAGTGTTCCCTTTATCCCACGTACTACTTTAAGTAATTTACATATTACGTCTCATTTAATGCTGACAATAATCTTAAAACTCGGGGGTTATTATCACCATCTCTCCTTATATGTGAAGAAAATGAGGAGCAAAGGGATTAAGTAATTTGTCTAAGTTTCCCTAGCTGTAAAATGGGAAAGTTGGATTTTCACACCTACTACATTGTATTGCTAATTTTAGCCTAACTTGTCTTCTTCAGTAAGGTGGACTTCTGTTTCCTTAAATGAACACCATACCTTTCTGAAAATTATAATATTTATAAAAAGTTAATTTTCTTGCACATTCACCAGGGCCAAGGAGCCCTATGGTTATTTCCTGGCATCAGCTAGCGCTGTGGCATGATACCGAGCCACAGGGTGAAATCTTTTCTCTGAGGTCTCTCCAGTTATACTCCAAATCCTTCACAGCATGGCTCACTTCCACATAAAATCAAGAGTCTTTCCCCCAAGCATGCAAAGGCCTATTCAAGAGATAGCTTGCTTTAAACATTTTTGCCTTTGAGGATAAAGAGCCAATTTCTGTGATGCCTTCGTAATAACAGAAATAATAATGACATGCAGATATTTCATGACATGCAGATATATTCAATAATAATGGCTTGCAGATATTTCAAGGGCTTCATATGATAGAAATCGCTACATGATTAGCCAGATAGCCATCCAAGAGAAGTAGAATATCTGTCTATTCCACTGTATGAATTTAGCATTCAAACCTA